TTTAGCTTATGTTTTGAAGTAATTTCTTACTATGGTGATATGATAATAACAGATTCATTGACTATTTGTTGAATATTTATCAAATAACAAATGCTGTATTGACTACTTTATTGATACTCAGAGAATCACACAACCAGAAAAACAAAACTTAAACCCAGGTCTAAATGACTCCAAATCCCAACAATTTCAGCTATTATATCAGACTGGGAGAAGAAATATTTGGCATCAGGGACATATTCAGCCAGTTCCTTTTAAGTTATTACAATAAGCATTTCCTAACTAGATCAGTTCTATATCAGAAAGATTTTATTTTTCCAAGATAGAACATATTGCTGCTTTGCCCTTTTGGTTTGCTCACACTGTGTCCTCTTCTACATAACTTTACATTTTATTATTGCCCCCGGACTCAAGCCTTAGCATTTTTCTAATTCTGCAACACCCACCTTTCTAGATCACATTTACAACCCTATGTTCAATTACCTTTATGCACAAGTAAATTCTAAATGTCCTTCTCTCAGTTCTGTTATTTTAGTATCATTTTTTCTAGTACCCTAGTGGTTATTTCCACCATGATAACTCCCAAACCCAGCTTTTAAATCACCTCCCACACTTATTTCTTGTCATCTTCCATTTTGTATTTCAAAGTTTTATATCATCCTCTACCTCATTTACTTTACTTTCTCTTCATCTGCCAATTCTAATTAATTATCATGGCCAGTTAATTGTACCTCTTGAAAATAGACTTTCCCCTCACTCTTCATTGCAACTGCTTTGTCTATGTCTCCTATACTGCCCTCTTGGCCTTCATTCTCTACCCCTCCATTTTATCCTCCACACTCTTAGCTCAGAAAGCAATTGCCATTATAGGTGACCCAACTTACATTTGCAACCTTGCCACGCCCACAGAATTTGACCAAGCAGAGTTCCATTTAGAATGATATGCTGGTCTTTGGACAAACACAGCTGTTGAGAACTGACACAAGACAAGGCAGCCATGCATAATTCTCAGGTCCTTTTGGGTAAATGAGGTAACTATAATGGTTAGTGGTAGGAGAAGATTAGCTACTCCCCACCTCCTTGATTTCATAATATAATGAAAGAAAATTTGGACATTTTGCTGCATATACATTTATTAACAAACAAGCATGTAACCCAACTTATAAACTTGAAGATGTTCTAACTCTCTGTTGTGTGTGTGTGTTCCCAAAAAACCTTACAAGAAAGTTTCCTCTGAGGCAAATATGATGATATTCTAGCAGCATGATTAGGCTAATCATTTAATGACATCTAAGAATATTTTTCATCAGAACACAGGAGATGAATCCCCTCATACCCTTCTTTAGTTCTATGGCTGGACTAATAATAATATAATAAAATTCACACAAGACTAGATTAACAGGACAAAAAACAATTTAATACATGTGCATGGGAGAATCATGATACTCAGATCATAAATTGAGACTCAAAGGAATGATTGAACCAGGCACCTTTTATACTTTTCAGACAAATAATAAATTTGTGAGAAATTGACAGCACACAAAAAAAGTTAGTGCTAATTAGAAAGGAATTGAAGTAAATTTGGATATTCATTAATGAGGAATTTAAACAAAGTAGTAAATTAGAAAAGAGGCAACAAGGTTTGTTTGTACAGATTCTTCGGCCCTGAGTTAATTAACTCTAGCAATACAGGGTGTCCTCCAGGTGCAGAGAGGGTACCTTTCATGTAGATTTATCTCTTGCTTTTATTGGGACAGATGTCAGAGGTTCTTGCACTGACAGTTTCTTCAGTAACTTTAATTCAAAATAATCAACATGCCATTGTGAGATATCTTGGAGTGGCCTGCCCTGGACCCTAATAAAATCAAGCCTGGAACAGCTTCCCTACAGGGGCAGGCCACTGGCCCTACTAGATACTTATAGGGGTGTGATGTGTCTCTAAATGATAAGTAATCCATATGTTTTGAATAGCACTGATTTCACCATGGATGGTCCATTTCTAAGATTCATTATACTTAGTAAAAAACCACTAATTTTAGCAATGAAACTTGTCTTCTAACATTCACTGTGCTAATTAATGAAGCATCTACTTTTGATCAGAAATGAAGATAGTTGAGGTGCTTGTAGTGGCTGCCTCTAGTGTTGCCTTATTCTAATTAAATGCTAGCTGACCATCTTGATAAAGACAACCTACTGTCTCTAGAGCAGAACCTATACTAACACAGTATCCCACCATTTTTGCTGGAATAATTATAAGGGAAATATAGTTATCATAACAATATCAGACTCTTTTGTTCCTCCATGCTTTTTCCTGGGGTTCTCTTCCATTTTGTTTTAAAGCTTGTATAAATGTAATCCTTTCTTCCTTCCCTTCCTTCCTTCTCCTCCCTCCCTTCTCTATCTCTGTCTTTTTCTCTCTCATATATAGTTCATATTTCCTCTCTAATTTAACAAAGATTTCCTTCATAGTCCCAAGATCTAGTTATTTTCTCCTTCATCTTTACGCAAATGGCACTATAGACACATTATTATTGTAGCCCTTTTCACTTTGAGTAATGAACACTTAGTTGTGAAAGCTTACTACTTGTAGAGCATTGTGAATTCAAGATCCCTTATCTCATTTATTTATTTCTGTGAAAGGAAAGCTCAAGACAAAGTCATGAAGAAAAGAATTATTACTTCCAATTTTTTGCAAAGATGTTGAGATTTTAGTACTGGCTCTACAAATAAAAAATATGACACATATTTAAATAAAAACATGGTTGTAAACTTATAGATAGTCTATTAACAGGAGAAAAAAGGAAAAGCAAACAGCAGCTCTCTTAACGTGATGATTATATTGGTAGATGTCAGTAAGGTACTGCATAAGTTTTCATTAGGGAGCAACTTATAAGTTATGAACTCATAAGTAATAAGTTCATAAAGAATGAAGTCTGAAGGCTTCATTCTTGGGAGAGGACCTAATGCTAGACAAGTGGCTCTACTTTATGTTTGTTTCCTCAGAGTGCAAACTGTTTTGTTTTTGTTTATATTTTTGTTTATATACCTCTTACTATGAGGTATGAGAAGCATGCTA